GTGCTATATATAAATCAATTAGAAGGGGATTAGATGGCATGTAAAAGTAATAATATGCATTAACTATTATCTAGATTTGAAACTGTCCTTCATCCAACATTTGAAGGAAAAAAAAAATCAAGATGCAATATTGATATTCAGACCCAATGTCATCTAAAACTTAAGTGTTTGAACCCCAAGTGTAATTCAGGAAAATCCTAAGGCAGTTATAACATAAACAGGCAATATGAAATTATAAAATATTGTGCACTTTTAAAATGTATGTTAAAAATTCAGGGTTTTATTTTTTCAGGAAGACAGAAAGTACACAAAAATCAAACAAGTTTCTCAACTCCTGAAAGGTAGCTAAACTTTGTAATGAATGGGGTAAATATCAAGAAGCCTAACTCCATTAAAGCAACTCCAATGAACAAATTCTGTCTCTATCTCTTGAAAAAGAAAATTAACTAGAAACTCAGTAGTATACTAAGAAAAAATAGATTATCCTAGTATTTACGAGGGATGATGTACCATCTATTATATTTACCACAAAAGAAAATCCACACACAAAAAAATGGTCTACAAGAAAACTTAACATATTCTGTAATATCAGAGTTAGAGTCACTCCAATATTACATAAATAATAAAAATTACAGTCTGCAAAATTGTTCAATAATCTCCAAGTGGTCTGGATAAAGCAGATGTAAAATATTTACAGGTAAAATATTATTTCATTTTAAAACTACCATAATAAAATTCAAAGTGACTAGTTCTGTGAATTGTTTCTACTGAGCAAAAGACTCATGTATTTAATGTCTTGTTGATACAAATAATAGATATAAATTCTATTTAATAAATATTCTACTTAAAAAATAATGGAAGGAAAAGCACATGTCCCTGACTATCAAGCATTCAGCCTATTTAATTAAGATATAAAAACAATATAATGAAAACAAAAGCTATAAAAGTATAGGATGCCCTCAGTAGGAATCTTGCAGGTTAAGTTTATGGAAGGCAAGAACTGTGTCTCATTCATCTTAGTACGTCTAGTAGTCTGTAACTCACAGCAGACATTCATTCGCTGAAATAACCTGCATTAATTCATTCAGCAAGCATTTTCTTGGCACCTAATAAGTGTCAGACCCTGTACTAAGTGACAGGGTTTTCTTGGTGAATAAAACAGGCTATGCTCTCTTTTGTGGAATTTATAATACAGTGGGGGAAGCAAATGAGTAATAAATTAACAAATAAGATAATGAAAATTTATAACAGATGCTATGAGAGAAATGAAGAGGATATAATGATAAAGGGTACCTAATTTAGAGTAGTTAGTAAGGGTCTCTCAAACCCTTATATAAGGTGACCAGGAGGAGAAAGCCTCTCTTAAGAAGGTGGTATTTAAGCCTAAATTTAAATGAGAAGGAGCCAGCTGTTTGATTAGCATAAAGCTTGATGAGCTATTTTCTAAAGCAACATATCAGCAGCTTAGTTCTCATCTGGCAATTCACAAAATAATTTCTGCACTTTGAAACTCGCAATTTTCTAAATAAGCTGACATTTTTCAGCCCACTCCAATCTAAACATCAATAGTTTCCCAGCACTCTTTACATAAGGTTGTATGTATATAACTATCCCCAGGTTGATATTCTTACAAACACATCACTTTTTATCACTTTTTATTAAGAATTTCCTCTATGTAATTTAAATACAGTTATAAAAAAATTAGAGCCCTGGCCAGTTTGGCTCAGCAGTTAGAACATCAGCCTTTGGACTGAGAGGTCATGGGTTCAATTCCAGTCAAGGGCAATATCTGGATTGCAGGTTCAATCCCTAGCCCCAGTCAGGGTTGCTCAGGAGGCAGCCAATTGATGTCGATGTCTCCCCTGCTCCCACTCAATCTAAAAAATCAATGGAAAAATATCCTCAGATGAAGATTTTTTTAAAAAGAGAGAATTAGAGGTAGAAAATATTTATGGAGAGACTAATAGGCCAAGCACTGTCTTAGTACTTTAAAGAAGAAAGTCTCTCAAGTGTTACCACTATAAAATTAGCAAAGCACTCTTTTTTTTTAATCTTCACCAGAGGAGCCCTGGCCGGTTTGGCCCGGTTTGGCCCTGCGGTTAGAATGACCAAAGAGTCGCTCTAACTCTTTGGCCTGCGGACCAAAGAATCCCGGGTTCAAGTCTGGCCAAGGGCATGTACCTCGGTTGTGGTTAGTCCCCAGCCCCAGTTGGGGTTGTATGGGTGGCAACCAATCAATATGCCTCTTTAGCATCCATGTTTCTCTCTCTTCCTCCCACTCTGAAGATAAATGTAAAAATATCCTCAAGTGAAGATTAAAATAAATAAATAAATAAATAAAAATAATCCTCACCCAAGGACATTTTCCCATTGATATTCAGATAAAGTGGGAGGGAGGGAGAGAGAGGAACATCAATGTGAGAGATGTGAGAGATGTGGTTGCCTCTTGCACAACGCTGACCAGGGCCAGAGATCGAACTGCAACTGAGGTATGTGTCCTTGACTGAATCAAACCCATGACTCTTTGGCCCATAGGTGCACATTCTAACCACTGAGCCAAACTGGCCAGCAAAACACTCTTTTTACGCTCACATTTTTGTGTCTAGAGTGGATGGAGAATGCTTAAAGAAATGTGTCGCCCTGGCCAGTTTGGCTCAGTGGTTGGAGTGTTGGCCTGCGAACTAGAGTCCTGGGTTCGGTTCCCGCTAGGGGCACGTACCAAAAAAGAAAAAAGAAATGTGTGGTCTGTAAGGGCAGCAACATAAATGCTGGCGGTGAAGAGGGTTGGGATCATAACAGGAAGACATTATCTTGGTGAACTCATTGCAGTCCACAGTCTATTACTCAGATATTCAGGTTCAGAAACCTCAAACCAAAATGAAAAAGTGACTAATTATAAACCAGAATTATATTGTACTAATTTTTGTTACTAAATGTATTATCTTGCTGACCAGACTTTTAGACTACCGATCATAATTTCACCCACGCCATATAATCCTCATTTGTTTGCACTTTCAACTGTATATCAACATTTATATCAGGAAGCTAAATGAGTGATCAGAATTGATGTTTGATGAATATGAAGTCTGTAAAGGGATACAGATCTTTCAGCCAGGCCATGTTGACAACTGCCCCTAAATATAGATTATCTTCCCAGTTACCAGAATTTTCATGAACCACAGATGATGTATCTTTTCCCTTTGTATCGCAGTGTATAAACAGTGCCAAATTCTGCTTTTCAACTTTTTCAATGTTCAGCGCTGACCATCCATTCCATTTCTGCTTGCTCAGCCTTTGTTTAGATACGTTCACGTCATCTATTTAATTCAATCAAAAACATTTTGAAGTGCCTGTTATCTGCTGGGCACTATACTAGGTGCTGAGCATCTAGTATGATCTGAGCCACATCCTCAAGAGTTCATCTTCGATTGAGCAAGACCTTCTCTTTCCTGTTTTGACCTAAGAGGTTGCTTTTATTATTGTTATTATTATTATTACATGCCTTCTGCATATATCTAATTTTATGCATTCTGTGCTAATGTTATTTAATTATCAGAGTTTTCCAGAGTTCCAGGAACACTATATGGTTACCCTGCATACCAATTACAAGGGGTATTTTGTATAGAGGAAAGAGACAACTGAAGTACTGGGAAGTTAAACAGCTTACTTGAAATCACTAAGTTAATAAGTAGTGGAGACAAGATTCAAATTCTAGGTCTTTCTGACTCCAAAGGTCACACAATATTTCCTCTGTTTCATGCAGTCTGAGAATCTAAAAACTCTGAGACAGAAATACATAAAGTTCCTACTACATTTCTTAACATATCTCCCAATTCAATGACTATTTCTGCCAAAATAAAATCAATACCAAGTTATACATTTGTACAGTGTTTTGAGATCTCTCATTAACTACTAGGCCCCCTAATTTAACAAGCCAAGAATAAATAATCTTCATTTGGGAAGGTCAAGGTCCAAGTCACTGATATTTAGTACTCTTGGAAAACAGAATCAAAACTCAGATCACTTTTCTAGTTGAAGGCTCTATCAAAAAAAATTAAGCCCTTCTAAAATGTAATATATTTAAATTCTATTTCTAGTTTAAGCCTTATTATGTAAAACATATTAACTTGCAACTAAAATGTAAAAATAGATCATATCTCAAATCACCTAAATCTTTAAATTACATATCTTGTTGATGTTTTCCTTTAATTTATACTTATTAAAAAGAAATTTTCTTAAGCAACCTCATTAACATCTACATCTGTTCTTCATGTTTCTTATGTGTTACAATAGTTCATTACAATTAGGCCAAATAGTCACTGAGTAAGAAAATTACTTGAACACAAATCCTAATGTGCAAATAAGAAAAATGTGATGAACTGGGAAAAGGGAGAACAGGAAATGGAGGAGAGAGATTATCAGGTGGGAGTGCAGTGTGAATAAAAACACCAGAAACTGCAATTCATCTAACAGGAAGTCCTGAAATCACATGACATGCAGGAAAACAAAATTTAAAAATAAATGAAAAGAGGAAAAAAGGTGAGCAGGTTCAATAGAGGCAAGAGGGGGGAAATGAAAAAGGCTTTAAATGAATACATTATAAGACTGTTTAAAAGAAGACTGTTATTGGGGTGGTGAACACACAACACAACATAGAGATGATGTATTACATAGAATTGTACACCTGAAACCTATATAATTTTATTAACCAATGTCACCCCAATAAATTCAATAAAATTTTTTCAAAATTTAAAAAGAATAAATTACATTTAAATAATCTAGTGATAGTTAAGAGACTACTTTCACTTTCTCAGTTATGTTTTCCTAATGTTTACTCAATAAAGAATCACACTAATATCTAGCCATTAACTGTCAAAAAGCTAAAGAAAATATTCTCTTCTAAAATATAGTTTTTCTGATGACCACAAATTTTTTTTCACAAAAGTGTATTATATTCACAATTAGGTTAAGAAATATCATCTGAGTTAAATTCACCTTACCCATTAATGTTGCTAAAAGACACAAGGAGTACATTTCTTTGTCAGCTTGCTCCTGAAGTTCCTTAGGTGACAGTTTACCAGTAGCAGCAATCTCTTCTTGTTTCACAGTGTGGGCTGAGTGTGCTGCAGTGGACTGACTACCTTCGGCTTTACTTTTCAGAATCTCTATTGTAATTCTGTCACCGTGCTGTAAAGGAACTGGCTCCTTTTCCATTCCTGCCTGGGGTGGCATTAACTCTTTAGGAGGAAAGCCATATCGAATACACTGTAAATATGGAGGAATGTTGAATTCTCTGGCTATGCTTTCCTGAAGTTCAAAAAAGGTTGTTGAAGACTTAAGTGTAACCATGGACTGTCGTCCATCATTAGTTGTTATTCGGATCTTCTTCTCTTTAGAAGTTGTTGGTGAATAGGGAGACTTGGTAGGGGTAGCAGGTGCAGAGGATGGACCATCACGAATGGCACTGGGAGAAACAGTCCTGGGTTGCCCTTTTTGTTCTTGTTTTAACTTCTCCGTTTTCCGTTTCTGCGTTACAGAAGCCTGTTCCGTAATAGTCTGTTGAATAGTTCTTTCAGTTTTACTCATGTTTAACTCCTCCTTGTGCAAAGTTTTTGTTTTCTGTCCGGTAAGAATAATTTTAGTAGGGAGCTGAGACTCTGACTCTTGTCCTTGTACATCTCCAACTCTTTGGGCATGAGCACCATCTATATTTACAGGAGTATAATCATCAGGATTCTTTTTGGCAGTCTGATGCAATATAGTGTGAACAACTTTTTGAACTAGGATTTCACTCCCAAATTCACCAGGAAAGTGCTTGGTAACAAGTTTCATCGCAACATCATAAACATTACTATTCAAAGATGAATCACTTTCATACTGGAACCAATATACTGTTTCTCTGACCACTCTGCCACCCCATTCCAAAGTAATAGGAAAAGCTTCTGGTAGATTATCATACTCTTTACCATCCCAAAAATGTTTGAATCCACAACCACATTTGCCACCAGTGGACCTAGAATTAGTTCTGTCCCCATCCAAATACACAATAGACCCATCTCCTCTGACCCTTCGCACAGATGTGCCATGGCACCAGTTACAAGCTGTTAGGCTACTCAATCCATAGTCTGGTACCAGAACATCTTTCACTGAATCATATGAGCAAACCAAATTGTTCAAGGGAAAGCTATAATTTTTGTCAGGCCTCAGCTGTCCATGAGTACTTTTTGCCAGGTTATACAGTTTCCCTCCTGGAGCCAACCACTCTGGAGGAACATGAAGTTCAGAAAGGGCACCACAGAGCAAACATTTGTGAAGGCGATTATCCATTACTGCTTTTTTAGCAGCTGCTGTGACTTCTTCAGGCTGAACTCCTATCACCCCAGTCCTCCTGTAGAAATACTGATGGACATCAGCAACCAAACTAGGGTGGATACCATGTTTGTCCATAAAGACTTCTTCCATAGCAGCAACAAGCCTAAGTAAGTATTTATCCTGCAGACTTCGGTCTCCTCCAATAACACAACCACCATCCTCCTCAAGTTTGATGTACTTTTTAATAAGGTCCTGAGGCACACCCCATGCTTTAGGAAGCAAATTCATAGGCAGTTTGGGCAAAGCAGCCCCTTTTATGCCTACCAAGGGGATATAATGGTTTCTACCAGAGCTACTCCATGCAATACAGATTGGTTTGTTCAAATGACCATCTCTTCCAGTGCATTTCTCTGCAGGAATGAGCCCAGGTAGAAAGGTGGCTGAATAATCACCAGAGCTTCTCATACCACTGAGAGAATCTAACAGAATAATAGGGCGATGTAACACATTGGCAAGGCCAAATATGTGGATGTTCCTCAGGCCCAGGGGAACACCCTCAGGCGGCACAAACAGAGGGTCACATTCATTGATAATGTCTTCCCACTCAGCGGCATCAATGAAGTCATGGAACAAGGCTTGATATCTGGCCAGGTGCTGCTGAAAGTGCTGTTTCAGATTCTCTCTCAAGGCATGCCAGAAGAGTTCCCGGCCTACTAGAGCCCGGGACACAGCATGCACCAGGCAGTGTCCATCCCCGTCCACATGCACTGGAATGAGGCATTCCTGACTTTTATTGGCCCGCTTGATGTCCTCAAGGGTGTCATGCAAATACAGAAGACTTCCGGAGCGGTCCTTGCCATAGCCCACCGTGTTAACATGCTCTGGCTCGATGAGGAAGGCGCGGTCACCCAGTAAAGCGCAATCGAACAGTTCGCCCTGGTTCATGTCCCGGAGAAGCTTAGCCCGGCCTGTCTGTTTGTCCATTCCATAGCGAGCTAAAATGGGCGACAACAATTTGCAGTGGTAGTTGGAAAGGCCCATCACCTTTACCAGTTCCGTGGTCTTCTTGGGCGCCCCTGTAACCCCCAGCAGCGCGTTCCGCAGCAGGTTGTGTAGCACTACGTCCGGGTCGGTCACCTCCTCCACCCCCAGCAGCTGGTGTTGCTCGTGCCGCTGTCCGCACTCGGTACACTCGATGCTGACAGAACCAGAGGCCGGGAAGAACAGACGCGCCTGGCACTTCGGATCTGGGCAGCTCCCGGAGAGGATTCTCCGGTCTCTCCGCTTCGAGAGCACCCCCGGAGCAGCCGCCGCCGCCGCCGCCAGGGACGACGGAGTCTGCGGAGCCTCAGGGGGAGGAGGCGGCGGCGGCAGCGGAGGTGGCGGCGGCGGCGGCTGAGACATAGCTCTCGGCTCTCGTGTCTCGTTCCGCGTCCCAAGCGACCCTCAAAGGCTCATAGCCCAGACCCCCACCGGCCCAACTCGGTCTAGTCCAGGCCCAGGGTGAATTACTTTCTTTTTCCTACCAGCTCCTCCTCCTCCTAAGCGAAGGCGGAAGCGCCGGACATTGTTTCTCTTCTTACTTCTCCACTGCCGTAGCCGTTGCCCCGAACGTAACGGCCACCACCCTACCCCGCACTCACACTCACTCACTCACTCTCGCTCTCTCTCCTCAGACACAGACATACACGCCCTCGCTGAGAGTGCGCAGGCGCAGCTTCCGCTCTGCCCTCTGGGAATTAGAGTCTTCCAACCTCTCTCTTGGCTATCGAATGCTAGAATCGTGGGTCCTAAAAGAACTACAAGTACCGTGAGGTCTGGCGGTTCAGCGTCCGCGGAGAGGAGGAAGAGGAAGGCAATAGGAAGGAGGCTAGAAAGGAAAATAGTTACTCACGTTGCCTGCCGGGAGTTGTAGTTTTATCTGGATCGCCTCTGCCGTCTTCCCCACTCTGGGGCCCAAGCAAAAGAGTGTGAGAGACCACCTTTCCTAGAATGCACTGCGGTGCGTCCAGCTTCACTTCCTTGTTAGGCGGAGGGAAGGATACAGGGAAGCTTACACGATAAAAGCCGAGTTAAAGGGTAGGGATGTCGGAAGCGGAGGGTCTGAAGTTCACGACTTCTAGAAGGGGAGGGGAATGAAGGGCTCTCAGTGAAGAAGGTACAGTAAATAAATGACCAGCGATATGGCGGGCTGGGAAATTGAAGGAAATGATCTCTAGGCTAGCGGTCATAAGAGAAAAGGGGGAAAATAGTGGATTGATTCTCGGAGTGTTCTTAATGCCTTTTTTTGTCTGCCGCACTTTTAAATTCTCATTCTTCCAAGCCACCGAGGCGCCTGAGCCCCATTTTCTGCTTTTTTCTCTCTCTCTCTACTGAGGGTCGCTAAGGCGCCCTTTGTTTCCTACCTCTGTGCTTCGCAGTTTGCAGTACAAATAACACCTCCTCCCCTCGAAGTTGTAAGAGCCGTCATTAAGTTCTTAATGTATGTGTGTCATAGCCATACACAATATCATTTGCTCTTCGTAATGACCCTGTTAGGAAACACGTCCAGAAAGGAAATAACTTGCTCAAGTTCACTGTCAGTGACTGGATAGGTACAAACCTAGATCTTAACCAATGTTACAGACTGGGACAGGCAGGAAGAGTCAGGCCAGTATTAATAAAATAGTGACTAACTTCTAGTTTCTATTATACTTGTTGACATAGAACGTTCAGCCTAAGAAAAAGTCTTGTACAAGTTTGAGCCAAACGACACAGTTGCCAAGAAGCAAAATCTCTACAGATTGAGAAAATGTTCCAGGGGATGGCAGTTATGTAGCTTTTTTAAACATTAGAATCAAAGGAGGAGACAAGGAGGGTTTATGAAATTCATTGGTGGTAGATTAGAGAGGTGGGAGAAAGCAAGGTGGGAAAATCTCTGAGACTGGATAAAAAGTAAAATGGAGAGACACATAGATCTTTTACATGGGGGTACAGGGTAGTGAATATTTACAGCACATAGAGATGGTATGTGGGCAACAAGATAACAATATGGTCCAGTGTTCTGGTGCAAGCGATTGTGCCTTTTGAGGTATTTAGAAAAGAAAATTAGTGGAACACTTCAAAGGTAGGTTATCCTAAATGCACAAAGACAAGAGACAGTTTCAAAGGTAAAGACCGACCTTTGTCAAGGAAGAAGCTACAGGCCTAGGACAGGACTACCCGCCATGGCCTGTTTTAGGAATTTTTATGTTCAGACCACCCTATGTGGTTACTTTGGTCTGTCTGGATTTGTTAGACCAGCTGTGCAGGACTTCCCTGAGTTTGTCAGGTTTAGTATGTGGCCCTTTTTCATCCACATAGTGTACATATGTTCACATATATCATTTAATCCTGACACTGATCTTATGATACCTACCTGGTATGGTTGACTTTACAGTTACAGAAACAGACTAGAAAGAATTAAGTGATTTGTCCAAGGTCAAATTACCAGTGTTTCTCAGATTTAGAGTGCTTTTCACAGTACTCTCTCTACAAAAGAAAAAAAAGCTGTCAAGGTCAGATCTTTTGTTATCTCCTCTTAGTGACTCCAGGAGTAGTAAGACCGAGAACCGATAAGGAGGTGAAAGAGCTTTATTTTATTCCTTGTGTGCTAGGATAGGCCGTTTCATGCAAAACACATTCATATGTTAATTAAAAGCTATTATTATTTAAGTTATTTTTATTTTTTTTATTGATCTCAGTAAGAGAAGAAGGGAAAGGGAGAGAGAGACAGAAACATCATCATGAGAGAGAACATCGATTGGCCTCCTCCTGCATGCCCCCCCACTGGGGACCAGGCCCACAACCCGGGGCATGTGCCCAGACCTGGAATTGAACCTGCGTCCTCTTGATGCATGGGATGACGCTCAACCACTGAGCCACACCGGTCGGTCAGGTCATTGGAACTGATTTTTAATTGAGTGATTATAAGTTGAGAAATGGGATATTTTTCAATTGGGCTATGATGCCTCTTTATTTCTTAACTTCACCAAGCCAAATTTCCCTTATTGGTGATACATATGAACAGTGGAACAGATTTTTCTAAATTGCACCTGAATATGTCATTCTAAATTGTACCTTGACAAAATAACCACTTCCTATCGTACTGAAGAAGTGGGCAGCCTTTTTCTGGCTTATTAAGCAGTCAGTCCACTTGATCCAGTGCTCATTTCCCTATATGGAACCTTGATTAGGTAGAAACATTCTTCCCAAACTAAATTTCATATTTAAATCCATTTGTTACTATCGTTCTTTTGGTTTATAAGAATTATACTTTTGAGGGGGGGAAATAGAAATACACTGGTGTAAAGAATATTTAATGGGGAGGAGAGGTAAGTTTTCAAGCAATTCTAGAGTTCAATTAGATCATTTTTTTTTTTTTTTATCCTCACCCGAGGATATTTTTCCATTTTTTGTACAGATAGAGTGGGAGGGAGAGAGAGGAAGGAGAGAGAGAGAGAAACATCGACGTGAAGGGACACATTGAGTGGCTGCCACCCGCACGACCAACCAGGGCCGGGAACCGAACCCGGGTCTCTCCGGACCGCAGGCCGACGCTCTAACTGCTGAGCCAAACTGGCCAGGGCTCAATTAGATCATTTAACCTGATCTAAGTTCAATTAGATCATTTAACCTGATCTAAATTAAATTAAATCATTTAACTGCATCTAAAGATTCATTGACAAAGTTCATAGAGTAAGAAAGCTAATATAAATAAAGAGGGTGCCCTGGCTGGTTTGGCTCAGCAGTTAGAGCATCCACCTGAAGACCAAAGGGTCACCAGTTTGTTTCTGGTCAAGAGCACATACTTGGGTTGGAGGTTCAATCCCCAGCCCTGCAGGAGGCAACCAATCAATGTGCCTATCTCACATTGATGTCTCTCTCCCTCTCCCCCTCCCTCTTTTCCACTCTAACTAAAAAGAAAGAAAGGGGCAATGATATTAACCATGCCAAGTTCAATTTTTTAATTAATTCTTTACAGTGTGTACCTATAAAGAAAAAGAAATTTTGTTGGGACAAAATAGGACATACTGTTTCCTTTTTTTTTAAGGGGAGAGCGTAAATGCAGTCCCCCATCCTTTTTTGTTGTTGTTGTTGTCAGTCCTCACCAGAGGATGCTTTTCCATTAATTTTTATTTTGTTTTTTTGGGTTTTTTTTTGTTTAGATAGAGTGGGAGGGAGAGAAAGGAAGAGAGAGAGAGAGAAACATCGACATGAAAGGGACACATCGCGTGGCTGCCACCTGCACGACCCAACCAGGGCTGGGGACAAACTGCAACCAAGGTACATTCCCTTAGTGGGAACTGAACCTGGGTCTCTCTGGACCACAGGCCGACACTCTAACTGCTGAGCCAAACCGGCCAGGGCTCCATTAATTTTTAGATAGAGTAAAAGGAAGGGAAGGAGGGAGAGAGAGAGAAACATTGATGTGAAAGAAACACATCGATTGGTTGCCTGCCACACAAACCAGACCAGGGCGAGGATCGAACCTGCAACCCAGGTACGTGCCCTTGACTGGAATCAAACCCGAGACCCTTTGGTCCTCGGGCTGATGCTCTAACCCCTGAACCAAACCTGCCAGGGCCCATTCTTATTTTTAATTGATTTTTTTAGAATGACGGGGGCGGGGGACACAAATGAGAGAGAAATGTTGATCAGCTAACTCCAGCATGCACCCTGATAGGGGATCGAACTGCAACCTGCATATGTACCCTGACCCGAAATCAAACCAGCGACCTTTCTGTACATGGGACGATGCTCAACCAACTGAGCCACACTGGCCAGGGCCATGCTGTTTCTTACAAGGCCATAGGAATACAGAAAGCTTATCTTATCTACTTTCATCTACTTATATGAGATATACATACTTACTTCCTCTTCCTCCAAAATTCCATGATCTTAATTGCTTAATAACTTTCATAAGATCTTTGTGGAATACAAATAGTTCTTTTTTTTGTCTCAGTATTCCAGATGGAAAAAATGAGCTGGGCACCAAATGTTAGCTGCTCTGATACATAACTCTTCTACCACCATCACCCTAGCATGACTTGTATCTAAATTACAAAAATTCAGTTATGAGCCCTTGCCAGTTTTGCTCAGTGGTTAGAGCATTGGCCCATGGACCAGAGAATCCCGGATTTGGTTCCCGCTAAGGGCATGTACCTTGGTTGCAGTTTGTCCCCGGCCCTGGTTGGGGTCGTGTGGGTGGCAACCACTTGATGTGTCTCTCTCACATTGATGTTTCTCTCTCTCACTTCACCCCTCTCTCCCTCACGCTCTATTTGAAGATAAATGTAAAAATATCCTCAGGTGAGGATAAAAAAAAAAATCAGTTATGACAAAAATCCTTTTTCCCCCCATAATTTCTAGTATGGCACTTCTAAACTTCCTTGATTGCTTTGAACAAATCTAGTAAATATAAAAGCTAAAGGCATCTACTTAACATAAAAACAAAAGGCATCCACTTCACAACAGAACAAGCATCGTTGTTTTTTCTCTTTTATATTGGAAAAGGAAGGGAATTATAACTTTGGGAATTGTTTTAAGTCAGCCACATTCTTTCTCCTATGAAATGTACATCGGTACTAAAAGTTGACTATGCTACTTCAGATCCCTATCCCAGACAATCAGATGTCGAGTT